GCAAATCAAGACCACTTTGAGATACCATCTCACTCCAGTCAGGAAGGCTAATATCCAAAAGACTGAGAATGACAAGTGCTAGAGAGGTTGCAGAGAAAAAGGAACTCTCCTACACTGTTGGTGGGACTGCAAAATGGTGCAGCCTTTATGGGAAATGGTATGGAGGTTCCTCAAATAATTACAGATAGATCTACCATAAGACCCAGCTATTCCACTGCTGAGAACACACCCAGAGGAATGGAAATCACCATGCCAAAGGGATACCTGTACTCCAATGTTTATTGCAGCACTATTTACAATAGCCAAGAGTTGGAACCAACCCAAATGTCCATCATCAGATGAGTGGATAAGGAAACTGTGGTATAACTATACAATGGAATTCTACTTTGCTAAAAAAAAAAAAAAATGAAATGCTACCATTCGCAACATGGATGGACTTAGAGAAAATTATATTAAGTGAAACAAATCAGGCACAGAAAGAGAAATACCACATTTTCTCACATATTTGTGAGAGGTAAAAATTAATGAATAAATAAACAAACACAAAAACAAATAAAGGGTGGGGGGAAGAAGACAGAATAACCACAAAAATTCCTTGAACTATTTAAGTCAAGTGAATAGATATGATGTAGTGGCAGAAGGGGAGAGAGGGAAGGGTGAAGGGGGGGGAAGGGGAGAGAGGGAGGGGGGAAGAAGAATGGGTAAAGGGTCACAAAAATCTACTACAATGTACATTGAGAAGTTAAAAGAAAAAAAAAAAGAAAATATCATGGAAAAGATCCCACTCATAATACAATAAAAAATTTTACGTCTTACATTAAGTTTAAGATCTATATTAGAAATACACACTTACATATAAATAGTTCTAGACAATTACATATGAACTATTAGTACCACATACCTAGATGGAAAAAATACTGTAAAGATTGTAATTCTTCCTAAATTATAAATTCAGTGTATTTCTAATCAAAACCCTAAAAGGATATTTTGATAAGTGGATTCTAGAGTTCTGTCAGAAAACAGGTGAAAATGTTCACAGCATATATCCTTTGACCCAGCAATTCCACATCAGGAATTTTTCTAATACAAGACATATTATCACACATACTTATTTATAAGATAGATATACTTTGTACATATGTGCAAAGACATATGTATAAGGATATTAACTGCAACAGCATAGTAACAATGGAGTAGAAACAACTTTAAAATTCATTAGCAAGGGACTAGTTAAATCATGGCATACTTATATAAATTGAAACTATATATGGTATTTTAAAAATTAAGTAGATTTGTAAGTATTGATGTAGATTCTACATCATTGCAGAACAACCTCCAAGATCTATTGAATGAAAAAGCATTGTACAGAAAAGTGTTTATAGTATGCTTCTATTTGTTCAGGAAATGTGCACGCATTTGTAGGCTACACAAGAAACCAGTTAGAATGGTGACAACTGAAGGACTACGGGTCAAGACTAAGGCAGACTCATTTTTCACTGCACACTATTTTCTATTATTTGTATTTTTTCTACCATATGCACCATGCTGTCTTCTCAAAACAAATTTTTCTTACCTTTTTGAGGCCATGGTTACTATTTTACTCAGTATGAGTGTTAACAGAATCCTATGTTTACTCTTAATCATTGTACTTTTTTATTTATTGTTTTGCATAATGAATGTTTTCATTTGGTTAAAAAATAAAATGGTATACAGTGATGTCTCTTTCCTACCCATGACTCATCTCCCCAGTTCTCCCTCACCATAGATAACTATTCAGTTTCTTGTATAACTTACAAGAGTTTCTCTTTACACATACAAGCAAATACAAATATATATTATTCTCATCTTTTTTTAAAAAAACCAAAGATAGTTTCATATTATATAAACAATTCTGTACCTTGCTATTTCCACTTAGTACCAAACATATCTCAGAACTAAAGTCACAACCCACCAAAAAAGAAAAAAAATAGACTGGGCATCTTCAAAATGAGAAACTCTTGTACTTGAAAGGATACCATCAAGAAAGTGAAAAGACAACCCACAAAAAGTGAGAAAAATTTTGCAAACCATGTATCTGATAAGGGACTTGTAGCTAGAATATAGAAAGAATTCTCAAAACTCAATAAAAAGACAACCAATTAAAAAACGGGCAAAGGATCTAATTAGACATTTGCCCAAAGAAGATTTACAAATGCCCAATAAGGGAACTGCAAATCAATGAGATACTATTTCTCACCTACTAGGATGGCTATAATCAAAAAGACAGTAACAAGAGTTGGTGAGGATATGGAGAAACTGGAACACCCATACAGATGCTGAAAACAAAATCAACACACAAATGGGTCAGCTGCTTTGAAAAAGACTGGAAGTTCCTCAAAAGGTTAAAATAGTTACCATGTGAACCAGCAATTCTAATCCTAAGGTATCTACCTGAGAAATGAAAAAATTGTATGTTCACACAAAAACTTGCATATAAATGTTCATAGCATTATTCATAAGAGCCAAAAGGTGAAAACAACCTAAATGTCCATCAACTGAGAAGATTAATAAAAACGTGGTATAGCCACACGATGGAACATTATCCCTTTTTACTGCCATAAAAAGGAATGAAGTACTGAGGCATGCTACAACATGAACCTTGCAAATACTATGCTAAGTGAAAGAAGCCAGACACAAAGAATCACATTATATGACCCAATTTATATGAAATGTCCAGAATATGCAAATCTATAGAGACACGTAGTAGAATAGTGGCTGCCTGGGGCTAGGAGGGTGGGGAAAAATGGGGAGTGACTCTAAGAGGTGCAGGGTCTTCTTTCTGAGATGAAAATGCCCTGGAATTAGACAGTGGTAATGGTTGCACAAGTCTGAGAACATACCAAAAACCACTGCATTGTATACTTTAGGTGAAGTGTACGATATATGAATTGTATCTCAAAAGCTGTTATAAAAAGACATCCCTTAGAGATCTTTCATTATCAGTACACAGAGAACATCTTTTTCTTTAATAGCAGTACAGTGTTCCATTGTATAGATATAACCAATTCCTCACTGATGAATTTCTAAGAATTTCATCTTTTGTGTCAAAATACTGCAATAAATATCTTTGTATATATATCATTTTACACGTATGTGAGTATACTGCAGGAAAAAGCCTCTGGAATGGAATTACTGGGTCAAAGGGTATATACATTTATAATTTTAACCTATATTGCTAAATTTCCCTCCATAGGGATAGTACCAATTTACATAGGGTTAGTACTCAATTTACACCAGTAATTTTTTTTATAATTCATGTTTTCCCATAGCATTGCCAACAATGCATTATCAAACTTTTGTACTTTTGCCAATCTATATTTCTAAATAGCTAGAAGAGAGGATCTTGAATATAATCACCACAAATAAATCGTAAATGTTTAGGTGATGGATATGCTGTCTACCCTGAGTGGATCATTATACAATATACAAACATATAGAAACAACATACTGTACCCAGAAATATGTAGAATTAAAAATAAATTTAAGAAAAAAATTTTTTGAAAGTGGTATCTCAGGGTACTTTTAATCTGCATTTTCATTATTATGGGAGAGACAGCATCCTTTCATGGTTTGTAAACACATTTACAATATTTCTTTTTCATATCCTCTGCTCATTTTTCTATTGGGCTGCTGTCCTTTCTCTTGATTTCAAAGTCTTTGTGATACAAAGTGGAAAAAAATTTGCAGTTCACATGTTGTTTTCTGTCTTTGTTTATGGTGCACAAGTTACTGTTTTTCAAGGTTTGAGATATAGTTCACATACCACACAGCTCAACCATTTATACGGTTCAGTGATTTTTACTATATTCAGAGTTGTGCATCGATCACCACAATCAATTTTCATTAGCCCAATAATATACTAATGCACCCCTTAGTCATTCCCCCATTACTCCCCCAAACCCCCACCCCCATCCCTAGGCAACCACAAATCTACTTATAGATTTGCCTATTCTAGACATTTCCTGTAAATGGAATCATGCAATATGTGGCCTATTGTATCTGGCTTCTGGATACCAGTCTCCTACAAATGATTTGCAAATATTTTTTTCCTATTCTGTGGGTTGTCTTTTCATTTTCCAGAAGTTATCATTCGCAGCAGAAAAGATTTTTTTTTTTAATTTTGATACTTGGGTTTTTGAAGTCACATTGCCTAACCCAAGGTCATGAAGATTTAAAATCTCCTATGTTTTCTTCTAGGAGTTTTATAGTTTCAGCTCTTATATTTAGTTCTGATATATTTTTAATTCATTTTTGTGTATCATGTAATGAAGGGAGAAGTTATTTTTATGTAGTCAAATTTAACAACCTTTTATTGTATGGCTTCTAAATGTTCACATTAGAAAGGGAATCTGCACTCCACGATTATAAAGAAATTCTGATTTCCTAGGTTGCAAAGATTATAAAGACACATTTCAAAAATCAAGATAGCTGACCAAGACTAGAACTAGAGTGAAATGAGAGGCACTCGCATTTGGTGTGAAATTAGTTTTTATTCAGTTAGTTCTCAGATGGGTGCTAAATTTAATAGGATGCCAAAAAACTCAGTAATCAAGACAAATATGTTGATGCAATATTTTAGAATATCAAATTGGAGAACTGTAGTCTAGCCATTTGTTTTTATGAATGAAGTTTTATTGGAACCAAAGCCAGGATTGGAGTAAGGCAGTGAGGCACTGTTTAGCAAGTGCAGGGGCAGATCCCACCTTTTTGAAAAATTAGTATTTTGCTCATCATGAATTTTGGAGGTTTTCATTTTTGAAAATTTTGCATTAAAAACTTATCTTGATTACTGAGATTTTTGGCAACCTCCTAAATTTTGCACCCTACACTGGCCCTGTAATTGATTCTCGAAGGTGGTATTTTTCTTCTGTTTACACTTCTCCACATTTTCCAAATTGTGCACAATGAGCATAGACTACTCTGACAATTAGAAAATATTTTTAAAAGAAGTCAAGACTCACTCAATGATGTTCCTTGTGGCTTTACCATAAGGCTTGCAGGAAACAAAAACTAGGGTGCAGATGGCCCTGCAGTTTCGAATGGCCTGAACCAACAGGTGATCTGAAGGAAGAAACACCTTGCTATTAATATACTTAAACTATCATGGTCTCGGGCCGGCCCGTGGCTCACTCGGGAGAGTGCGGTGCTGATAACACCAAGGCCCTGGGTTCGGATCCCATATAGGGATGGCCGGTTAGCTCACTCGCTGAGCGTGGTGCTGACAACACCAAGCCAAGGGTTGAGATCCCCTTACCGGTCATCTTTAAAAAAAAAAAAAAAAAAAACTATCATGGTCTCAGTTATCACAAACTCCCATCCGACTAGGATCTAGGATTGGTTAGGAATACAGGAGGTGGTGGTTCAGGGCCAGCCCACTGGGAGCAGCCTTAGCATGGTGTGGGAATAAGGAACCAAAGCTGGTGGACATCATGGGGAACACCCAGCTAGCTATTCATCCTTATGCAGTCCAGCACGGGCTAGGTTCACCACAGCAACAATTAATGGTCCATCTTCTCTAAACTTTAGCAGCCATGGCAAAATCTTCTCTGCTCGACCAGTGTGAAATTCACGTTGGTGATGCCTGCAGAGGAGAGACTCACATGACAACTCAGCACAGCAGTGGAGGGAAGCTTCAGCTTTACAGAAATGCGTAAGAGCCAGGGCTCTGCCATCTTCCCTTTGGATCTAGCATACCTCTGAATAACAACGAAAGAGACACATTTGGACCCAGTTCACTTTCCAAAGTACTCTCCCTTGGAATACCTCAGTAAGCCTGAGCTTGCATAGATAGACAGTGTTATTTTACAATTTAATGACTCACATGGCACATAAGCCCCTATGCCAAGACAAGAACCTTGACTTTTTTAAAGTGCTCTTCCTGTTATATCAGGTTTCCACACACTGCCTCAGTAGCTGTCTAGAGGTGGGGTAAAGAGGACAAGATGATCTGTTTTCTATATTCCAGTTTGGTGTAAGATTTGTTTGAAGAAAAATTTCTGTTACTGAGAATATAGGTTTGAAACTTATTGTATTATGCTATGATGCCTTGTGAGTCTAACATCAAGATGGTTCCTTTTCTACTCTGTCCAAAGTTTTGACACTTCTCTTCCTATCAGCTAGACTTGTTTCTTCCCTCAGGCTCTTCTTCTGGAGAAATAAAAGATTAGATATTGGGACCTTTTCCAGAAAATCATCAGGACCCAACTCTAACCACTCCAGAACCCTCTCCCTTCCTCCCCACAGACCAGGGATACAGTAGTTGCCCTGCCCTTTCCCACACAACCCTTTCCATAGCACCAACTGCATCTCTTCATTTCTCCCCAGACTGTGAGCTGTATACACCATTGAAGGCTGCAGTCCACCTGGCATCCTCTACCACCTGCTCCACCAACTCAATCCCGATGACTTGGGATGTATTCTGAGCCACAGAAAGGCCAATCGCACCTGGGAAGAAGAATAAGAGGGGGGTGTTTTAGGGTTTTAAAAGAAGGTTATGCCTGCACCACTACCACCACCTCCCCCCACCCATGCCTGCAAGCTGCAAGGCTCCGGATACTGGGTGAACAGCATTTGGGAGCTAAGCAACATGCAGATTTTGCCCTTTCCTGCCACTTGCCAGTTCCATAGCAGATGTCAAGGAGGATGGTGTTAGGGTTGACTCCACTCAGCTCCGTCACAGTTCAATACAGCAGCTCTGCACCAGCAGTGTTAATCTGGAAAAAGGCATCTCGAGAGATGCGGAACTTCAAGCCTAGGAGATCTTCAAAGATGTGGGGTTCCCCAAACAGGAGCTGGTAAGGGGCCTGCTGAAGACTGCAATGGGTCATGGTGCTGGAAAAGAATAGAAGCAGCATTTTGGAATGGGAGACCATTCTATTGCTAGTGGTTTATTGGAAGAGAAGGCCCCAGTATCTTAGCTAGGAGACATAGCCTCCTTGCCGTGGCCCTAAGAGCTCTGGAGTTCTCTTCTCAGGGGATGTAGGTACATGCAGACACCTTCTCATCTACATTCTGGCTTGGGTTTCCAGACCTGGCCGGTGTACAGGGGCCAGGACCACTGAGCCCAGATCCTCCACTATCAGCAGCCCTACATCAGCAATCCATAAACCCAGACTACGGCAAGCCGTCAGGCTCTTATTTGCTGTGTCTATCCCAGGTTTACCTTTCCTGGAAGTACAGTGAAGTCAAGTCACAGACTGCTCCAGGGCCTTTGGTGAAAAATTCCTTTATAGTCTCCTTCTGAACACAGAGCTCCTCCTGCCCATATCACAAAAATCAGGAGTCAAGCAAAGACTCATCTCTGACAAATTTTTCTCTCCGAGCTTCACAGTAATCAGCCCTGCAGTAGTCAGACAAGAAGATACATTTCTCAAATCCTATTATAAATAACATTTAACATAAAGCAACATTCTATAGGACAAAAACAGAAAACAAAAAAAAACTCACGATTTTCACATATCAGTAGAAGCTTTGCTTATCCGCTTTTGACAAGTCCTACACAACAGTACAACAGAATTGGCACTTTCTCTAGTTTGAGCCTCTAATAGTTCTCTGAAGAAAGTGTGAGAGTTATTTTCATTGTAAACAAGAAGCTAAACAAAGCTTTTGTCCCATCACAAAGAGGTAATAACCTTTAAATCCCCCTTCATACTTCCCCACTTCAGACATCCCAACCACCCACCCAAACACCACCTCAGAAGATGAGTCCTAGGAAAAAGAAAAGAGGAGGCACAAATGAGAATGAGCATGGTAACTCAATCCTTTGAGTTCAGAACATTTTAAAATTTTTACATCATTATAGAGAGGCTAAGCATTAGTTTGACATAAGGATATCTCACAGTAAACCATGTTGGAGCTATAGACACCAGGCCAGGAATCAAAGGGCCTAGGTAACAATACCTCTCCTGCCTACCTACTTCACAAGTTGGTTGAGGTGCTCACATAAATCACATTAATGTTTTAACGTGGGAATGTTTGAAAACTCTAAGTGCACTACACATGTCAAGTATTATTTGTGTTATGAAATTCTGACATTCTAGCCTCTACTGAATTGGCTTTTGGATTCAGTAGAGCACCTAATACCATGGGTAAAGTTCTTGTGAAAATACTCGGGAGTCCTCAACGTAATTAACTTGGTAACCTAACCACAGTGTGTGGTTTACGTCAGTAGTACAACTAAGTAGTATCCTTGCCATCTTTTCCTCTTCATCCCCATCCCTTCTCCCCAGCAACACAAATATTCTGTGGGTGTTTAGTTTCTGCTATCTGCCCTGCAGCTTCCAAAAACCAATCATAGCATAGTAATAGTTAGGGTTGCTAGAGAAGCTTCCCCTTATTGTCCTGTGAGACTCACCTGACTTAATTTCTGGGGATGGAAAGTGATGATAGCCATTGTGTGCCCTTGGCTATTGGTGTGAACTATGAGCACACAACAGTGTCCACCTTCATGAAACTGAAGGCAGGGCTCCACTGGAGACTGTCGAAGGAATACTTCATAGCACTAAGAAGAAAAAAGTATTATTACACAAGCAAAACTAATAAGTCTCACAGTGATTATTCATGCTAGGTGATTGTTTGGGGCTATATTGTGCCCCCACAAAATTCATATGTTGAAGCTCTAACCCCCAGTACCTCAGATTATGATCTTTTGAATAGAGGGCCTTCAAAGAGATGATTAAGTTACAATGAAGTCATTAAGGCAGGCCCTATTCCAATCTGACTGGTGTCCTTATGAGAAGGAGAAATTTGAACGCACAGAGAGATACCAGGGATGAGTACGAACAGAGAAAAGACCATTGAGTACACAGCAAGAAAGTGGCCATCTGCAAGCCAAAGAGAGAGGCCTCAGAAGAAACCAAACCTGCTGAGACCCTGATCTTAGACTTCCAGCCTCCAGACGATGAGAAAATAAATTTCTATTATTTAAGCCACCCAGTGTATGGTAGTTTATGGCAGTTCTAGCAGACTAATACAGTGATATAAGAAACATGATCCCTATCCTGTGACCTTACAAAGGACACTATCCATTGTACTCCAAATTGTAAGCTCCAAGAAGGCTTAGAGTTGTATCCTTAGTCTGGCACATATAATGTGCTCAATAAATATTATTGAAAGAAGATACGAATGAATAGGAAAAGTATTCATATGTAGAATCGCAGTTTATTCTATATACAGTATGACAGGCAATTATCTTCCATTTCCATGAACTCCTCCTGGCAGCAATTCCTAATGCATTCCTAAGCTGCTATGATTCCATTCTTTCCTAGAACTTCTTAATGTAAGCCTATCAGTTCTATATTTCTTCATATAACCAGGTGCTAACTACACTATATCTTAGTTGGATCCTCCACTTCCTCCTGGTGAATACAAGTCAAATGCAATCCTGATTTAGTTGTTGTGATCTCAAAATTCCTTAAAGCCAAACATTTCAAACAAAAGCCAGTTGCTACCACAACAGGACACACTGTCTCATTTCCTAGGTCCTTTTGTTCATAGTGCATTCATTCTAGGTCCACTGTATTTTCAAACAAATCTCAAATTATTCAGGGAAGAGAGAGTTATACCAAAAAACAGTGCTACCTGAGAGGGTAAAACCAATTAAGGCTGCACTTGATCACTTTGGCTATAATTTCATATTAATACAAGATATGCTTAACTATACTGAATATATTTTTCAAATTTTGTGGCTGATGATTTAAAGACAGACTGGTTTAACTGTCATTTATTGGCTGGTTAGAAAGGAAGGCTTTTTGGAAAGAAGATTCAATTGTCATAGAGGTCCCAGTAATTGAAAAACTGAGCCTGACATGGAAGATAATGGGTAAGTAAATATGAAACACAGCTTCTCCACTGTATAACCTAGGGTCTTGGTATCTCTTTGTAAAACAGAGACTGAAACTCCTATTCATATATGGGAATGCCCAAGTATTAAAATTTGAAGGGGAGGGCCGGCCAGTGGCTCACTCGGGAGAGTGTGGTGCTGATAAAATTTGAAGGGGCCTTCTGGTTAAAGTAACAGAACATTCCTCCTAAAAATCTACTAAAATGAAATAAAGGAATAAAAAAGGCATAAGCTTATTTAAGAGCTCATTGTTCCAACAATTCTCCCTTTTCTCCTGCACCATCATTTTCCTCCCTCACTACTGGATGATTCTCATAAATAAACAAGCATGCTTTCACTCTCCCATTTTAAGGACAAAAAAAAAGAACCTCTGAACCCCACATTCCCCACTAGCTACTGCTCCATTTCTCTGCTCCTCTTTGTAGCAAAACTCCTCACAAGAATTGTATACATTTACTGACTCCCATTCTTCTCCTTTTAACCCACTTGAATCAGGTTCCCACTACTCCACCAAGATGGCTCACATTAAGGTCACCAATGACCTCCTTGTTACGAACTCCAACAGTAAACTCTTAGTTCTCCTCTTACTTGACCTATCAGCAGCACTGGGCACAGCTGATGAGTCACAGGATACCATACTCTGTTTCCTCACTTAGTCTTATTGCTTACTCCTCTTCTCCCAGATCTCAAACTGGGAGTGCCCAAAGGATCAGTCCCTGTTCCTCTTCTTTTCAATCTACTCTCACTTTCTTGGTGATCCCATCTTAGTCTCATGATTTTAAATAACATCTATATGCTAACAACTCCTGAATTTCTCTTTTGAACCCCAGACTAATATATCCAACTACCTACTTAACATAACCACTCAGATGTGTAATAGGCATCTCAAATGTGACATGTCAAGTTGAACTACTAATCCCCACCAATCTGCTCTATCAATCTTTCCCAGCTCAGCTGATACTAACTCCATCTTTCCACTTGTTCTACCCAAACACCTGCAGCCATTTTTTTAAAAACTCCTTTCTCTTATACCTCCCATTCAATCCATAAGGAAATCCTGTTGTTCTATCGTCAAGATATATCCACCTCCACTGCTACCACTGGTCTATATCATCTCTCATCTGAATTACTGCAACAGCCTCCTAACTGGTCTTCCTTCAACCTTTCCACCTAATAATCCATTCTCAACACAACCAGAGTGATCTTACGAAAAATCTAAGTCATATCACGACATTCCCCACCCATCAAAACCTCTTAATGGCTCATTTCATTTAGAAAAAAAGCCAAAGTCCTTCTCCACTCCCACTGCTTCACTTGACTCTAAAAAAAATAGAGCCAAAGTCCGTACAATGAGCTCTGAGGCACTACATGATATTGCCCCCATTAACTCTTACCTCATCTCCTACTATTCTTCCCCATTCATCTGGGCCTAGTTTTAATTCCTCCAAAAAGCCAATCACACTCCCATCTTTGGGCTTTGCAATGACTGTCTTTTTGCCTAGAATGCTCTTCCCTCAGACCTCTGCATGGCTAACACCTTCACTTCTTTTAAGTCTGTTCTAGCATTTCTCAACCTCAGCATTACTGACATTTTGGGGCAGATGATTCTTTGTTGTAGGGGACTGGCCCATGCATTAAAGGATATTTAACAGCATTCCTGGTCTCTACCCACTAGACACCAATAGCACTACCCAACCACTCCCCAGTGGTGACAACCAAAAATGTCTCAGACATTGCCAAATGTCCCCTGCAGGCAAAACTGCCCTCCGTTGAGAACTGCTGCTCTATTTAAATACTACTCTTTCAATGAAGCTTACCTTGACCGTATTTAAAATTACAACCCACACTCCCCCAACCCCCAGAATTTCTTATCTTCTTTACTCTGCTATATTTTTCCCATGGTACTTATCACCTTCTAATATGTCATATAATTTTTTTAAAAACCTATCTCCCCCACTAAAATTTAAGTTCCACAAAGGAAGGGATATGTTCTCCACTATTGTATCCTAAGCATCTAGAATTGTGCCCAGCACTTTTAGGAGTGCAACAATACCTATTAAATGAATAAATGAAGGGAAGAACAAAAATAATGGGCAAGAAGACAATAGAAGAGCAAACTCAGTAAAGTCTTAGAAGATGGAAGGTAAATTGGAGTGACAACTGACTTAGCAAGTCAAAGGAAGCTACATCCAAAGTGCCTACAGAGGGGGACCTGATGAGACGTAAGGCTTATCTGCCCCACACAATCCTTTAAAGGCTCACACTTGAAGGTGCAAGATACTGCAGGAGTCAGAGATAGGGTAAGGTCTGTGGCTAAAACCAGGAATTGGTTAAAAGTCTAGATACAAAACTGGTAAACATCCTCATCTTACCATGAACTTCATCTTCCTCTACCAGCAGACTGAAGATTTTTTCCTAAGAAAACCCACAAAAGCTCTGAACTTGGAGATACCAGGGACAGTGATGGAATAGAGGGATGAAAGCAGGAATTTAAAAATGGCCCATCAGTTTAAGGCCTCACTCTTAAATATGAACAGCCAACCAGGTATCACCAGCTATTTGATTAAAGCCTCCATTATAAAAGACAATGCCCAAAATAAATTAAAAAATCCTGAAGGAAACAGATATTGCAAAGGACAGAAAAAAAGTAAATAGACAAATAGGTAGATACTTATGTTACATTACTAAAAAAAACAACAGGATGTTATACAAAAGGAACAATCAGAACAAGAAAAAGCTTTTGAAAATTAAGGACAGAATATTAGAAAAAAATTAATAAAGTTGTTGGCATTCAGGTCAAGAAAATTTCACAAAAAGGAGAACAAAAAGGCAGAGATGGAAAAGAGAGGAATGCATAGAAGATTATAGAAGCAGTCCATGAAGTCCAAGATCCAAATAATAGGAAGCATAGAGAGAACACAGAAAATGACAGAGAAGAGGTAATCAAAGAAATACAGGAAAATTTCCCACATCAGAAAGTACTAGTTTCCAGATGGACAAAGCCTATGAAGTGCCCACCACAATGAATGAAAAAGAGACCCACATGGTCATGAAGTTTCAGGGATAAAGACAAGTTCCTTGAAAGCTTCTAGATAGAAAAAAGGGGGGGGACAGTATTTACAGAAGATCAGGACTTATATAACATTGGCGACCAAATGACAATGAAACAGTGTCTTCAAATTTATAAAAGCAAAGGATTTCAAACTCAGAATTTTAAATCTAGAAAAACTCAGTCATATGTCAAAGTAGAAAAAAGACATTTATAGACATGCAAAGACTTTAAAAATCTGCCACCTAGGCACCTTTACCCAGGAAGCTAATGGAGGTTATACTCTAGCCAAATGAGAGTATAAACCAAGAAAAAAGACAGGGGATCTAAGAAACAAGGGATACAAGACTGGGGAGCAGAAGGCCTAGTGGGCCTAGGATGGCAGACTCCAAGAATAACGTCTTCATGGAAAAACTTGAACTGAAACTTTTGAACATATGGAGAATATTGATAAATGTCTGACAGAGCTTTTCAGACATTTGGAAAAAATTGGCAATACGTTCATAGAAAACTATGCAAATGGAAAAGTGAGGTAATTATTCATGCAGATAAAAACAAAGAGTTGTAAAATACATCACACCATAGTGTAGGTGTGATGCACCTACATACA